CGTGAATCTGCTGCTACGAGTCTCAAACACTGTTTTTCGCTTGCAAATGACAAGTTTCACGCTCTCTCCCTTTTGCACCACCTATCTGTGTGAAAAATGGTGCAAAGTGATTTGTGCATCTGTAGAGGCAACGGCGGGCACTGTTCAGGGAGCGGAGAATTTCGGCCAATCAGAAGAGCTCATTTGGGCGCCTGAAACACGCCCCCTAGTTTTAGCCACAACCCCGAAAAATCGCGAGCTGCGAGCATCTTGACAGCAACAAGTATCAAAAAAGGTACGTGGGTATTTTTTCTTTCTGAAATCATTTGTTTATAGCTTAAATATAGCTACGCTGGTAAACAGTGTTTCTTAGTTAGGTTAGCAAATCTTATTTCACGAAAGGTAAGGTAACGTTAGCCTGCACTGTTAAGTTTGCCATTCAATCGTCTCGTATTAAATTTATGCTTTACAAAAATGACAGATCAGGGTGCATCTTCGCAGGCGAGTAAGTTAAAACCAAGGGTACCATGTACCATGTTTTTGGTGAATAGTAATTTTTATTGGGATAGCCTACTATAGTAAACTAAATGTAATTTACAGCAGGCAATCTATAGTAGGTCATTTGCCTAGTAATTATTACTCTCAGTGTTGGGTAGGATTACTAATTACTTTAGTTATCTCAGTTTTCATTCCTTTGAGAATCCTTGTTTTGTGATTTGGCTCTTTATATTTTCAGTGTCCTACTATTATAATATACAGTCAAACCAAAAATTATATATCACCAGATATCATTTTTTATATTTTTTTACAATTTTTACAAGGACACTATAGTTCATTTATGTAAGTGAGGATAGCAAAATAAAGTAAATTTTTACATATTATACCTCAAAATTCTGGATACAGTGGACTACCAGTAAAATTGATTTGGGACCAAAAATTTGATTTGACACTTTGACCTGACCATATTTTGCTTAAGTGTTTGTCTTTAATTGCTAATGCGACCGTTTTACAACACAGACTTAAAAAAATTAAGCATTGCTTGGTAATTGGTTGAGCTAAATTGGTTTTATCTAATTGTGTGCTTAAATTTAACAGCTGACAACAGAATTCATTACATACCTTTCTATCAAAGTTATCTGACATTATCAAGATGAATTTGTTCTGACACAGTT